TATTGTGGACTTCATTTTGATATACACTTTGAATTCCGACAATTCTCGCTTTACTGAATAACCCTGTTTATGAGTGAATTACACTCTAACAAAACTTTCTGTTGAGTGCCTGGAGTTTTATATATTGTCTGTTACATATTATCATAGACTTATTTCAAGCTGTACTACCATACGTTGCAGGTCCATGATAAGCCACAAAGATACTACCACAACAAATGCACAGGTGGAAATATAAAACGAATTTCAAAGTTAAGGCAAAACTGACTAGCTGACTCAGGGAATTTTGTTGGTTTGGGGATTTTGACCTTAAAGTTGAAATTCACTTGAATTCACTTTAAAATCTCACTTTGGTGATTAACGCTGTTTTAGTTATATTTATTGTTTATTATTATTTTTTAACACAGTCGGACTGGTGCGTGTTTGTAGGTTTACATGATATAGGTAGAATTTTGTGATCTTATTCTTTTCAGTTAAGAACATCAGAGTAGAAATCCCTCAAAATATCTTGGGCACGATCTTGGGTTCTATCATTTTTGTGTTTGTTTGTATGAGATTTGTGTGTTTTTGTTTTTGTTTCATAGCATAAAAAAATAAACATTTCGTAGATTTTAAAGGAAAAGAATAGGCTATAGATTTCTCACCATTTGAACATTAACTAAGGAGTTTTCTTTTCACACAAAAATTACAAGCTCGGCAAATGTGTCGGACAAAGTTTCAGAAATTATCAAACAAATATGACGCTACGTATTTTTACAGGTTTTACAAACCTTCTGTGAAGAAAACCAACTCCCTTAAAATATGTTTTTGTTTTTCCTATATTTTCATTTTACTGAAGCACTAAAACATCTAGATTATCAAGACTGGAGGGTGAGGGGTAATGGGAGGTAAGAGGGGACAACCTGACCCCTCTCAACTCCACCTGCAAAATGATATTTTTACAGCCTTGTTTCTGAGTACCTTTGTTCCAAACCTCACATCCAAAAATGCATGTCTATGATGTGATAGGTACATTGTGCTGTGAGAATTACTCCTTTATCAAAACATCTTCAGCCAAGCTTCAGCTATTCTTTGTTTTAGCATAATCCTTTCGTTTTATTTATTTATTTATTTGCTATGTCAACTGTTTTGTTTTGTTTTGTTCCTTGTTGATGAATCTGTACAAAAGCGCAGGTTAGATTCATTCATCTTCTTCTTCAGTCCATTTATCACAAGAGCTCCGTTAGAACGGATCCAGAGCTACTCGTTCTCCAGCCTGGGTGAAATGCAGCGTTTCAATGAGCTGAGTGCTTATCATCTAGACACTACATAGAGGATGAAAGGTCATTTTGTTTGTCATAGATCTGATGTAGATGAATTATGGCGAGGCAAGCTGAATACAACCGAAAGGCTGGCTTTTTATTAGCTTATTCTTGTATCATTGTACGGGTCTTTGTCATGAAGTGCCCTTGGTGTTTCTTCTGTTTCTTCTACAACACATACCTAAACTTATCTCTGTTTATAATAGAAAGACAGAGAGACAGAGAGACAGATAAATTATAAAATAGACGAGGGGGTCTGATGGACAGACAGACAGACAGATAAATTATAAAATGGACAAGGGGGTCTGACAGACCGACAGACAGATAAATTATAAAAAGGACGAGGGGGTCTGATGGATAGACAGACAGACAGATAAATTATAAAATGGATGAGGGGGTCTGACGGACAGACCGACAGACAGATAAATTTGAGCCAAATTTTGTGGTAAACAGACTGCTTACATGTGAATGCGTCAACACATGTGAATTGTTAGATAGATAGATAGATAGATAGATAGAATAAACTAGGGGGTCTGACGGACAGATGGGCATATAGATATTGCATTATTTGCTTAATTGGTGAATCATATATTGCAGCTCAATATATAAAGTATGTAGACATGTTCATGAGGTTTAGTTGTTCTGTAAAAAACCATTAGTCTTGGTAGCACCCTGGATTTAGGTACATTTGAGCCAGGAATAATTGCTGGTGCCATCTATGGTGCTTCCAATTTCTCCAAAACAGCTGAGATCATTGGGTTGTCTGGTTGAACAGTATGGTGTGAGAATTTTCAAAGAATGATGTGATAAAAATAATTTATCGAGTGAGCAGCAATTCATGGGAAAGACACACCTTGTTAATAAGAGAGGTCTGATGAGAATCCATAAAAGGTACTAATGCTCCAATAATCTCTTCATACACACCGTTTTGGCAGAAGGACACACCTGAAAACAAAAATGACAAAACATAAAGTAGAGAGTCTACAGATCATGCCCATAGTTAGTGAAACGAGATAATAGTGGGCACATTATCACCAAATCTGGGCAAGAGAATGAATATTGGAAACATTTTGCCTATTTTGGTAAATTCTGATATCTGCTGCAGGATACAGATGGTAGAGATAAGAAGTTGGTTTAAACTCCATACATGTTTGGATTCATCTTATCTCATGTTGGTGGATGTAATGGTTCTTACTAGATAATGATTTCCCCTTTTAATATAAATAATGCATTGTTTAAAGACACTTAACATTGCTACTCACAATGACCTTCTCTTTATAGCCTTGATCGACCCAATTTTAGATGGCGACTTCCACCAGGACAATGTGCCATGTCTCAAAGCATACATCATCTCCGGGTCAACTAATATCACATGGACTTAAGTTTACTCCAATTGCCAGCTCAATCCCCAAACCACCAACTATGTACGATCATACATTATTTTGCACACGTACAATTAGATGGCACAAGCCCGGTGGCTGCAAGGGTTCTCTATTTTAGCCAAAGTCACTGCCCTCTGCTGACTCACTTCAATGAGGGAGTATCAGGCGCAAACAACTTTAAGAGCTCCCTTACTGTCCCCTGGAGATCTGAGTCATTAATGGAACGTGTTTTACTTCACAATTCTTTATTTTTAAACTGGTAAGCAAACACTTAACAACACTTAAACAAATATACAAACCAAAAATAAAGCAAGAAAATCTTTGAAAAGCCTGTAGTTAATGCTTATAAACTTTCTATAAACTTGGTCCCTCTTACTTATCCATCTTAATTTCACACTAGTTTAGTAATGACAGACACAGGGCGTCATTGTGATGCAGGAGAGGGAAACCAACACCGGGGCACTCTCTGCATAATCACACTGGTCATACTCACTTGTCGTAGGGGATGTTGCAAGGAAAAGAGATCTGCCAACTGCACATGTGTAACTCAGTCAGGCATGGTCAATGCACGTTTCATACATTCCTAGGGATAGGAAGCTGATTGGTGAGAAAGAAGTAGCAGGTAAATATGAAAAAAAGAAAACCATATCTATCTGCTTTTTCCAGCTGCAGAGTGATGTATGTCCTTTTAACTGAGCACCAGAACCACAAGGGAGCTCTTAAACTGGTCTGCACCCAATATGGGTGCAGACCACAATGCTTCCCCAATAGACAAACTTTCAACCGGATCACAGGAAAAAGTAAACACGAGAGAGGCAAAATACACATACTCAGACACTGCACACACAACAGTCAGCTATACTCAGACTTCCCTACACACAACACAACACACTCAGCCAAAAGATATGTAACAAAGTCATCACGTAATTTGTGTGTATCATGTGTCAGTGTATCGGTGTTGATATACACAACAGAGGTTACAAAATGCCAGAGCTTTGTATCAAATGTGATATTCACAGATTATTTCTTATCAGGGTTATTCACTAACAGTAGAATTGTTGATAATTTAAATTAAATTAACATCTAAGGCAAAAATGGATGAACTTGAAAAATTCTCCAAGTTGATTTTGATTCCACTTCAGTTACTTTGATCTTAAATGTGCAATCCTGAATTCCTGACCATGATCAATTTAGTTAATAGCCCTATGTATGTTTACTTTAATATCCCCAGACAAAGTAAGTGAATGTAAGGTACATTAATAGCAGCGCTTCCTGTGGCTGAATAGGTTAAATGTCTCATTCACATTGTGACCAATTTTAGATGTTACTACTGATGCCCTATAGCAGTCACACCTGCCAAAACAGGCATGATAAAATGATCCTATTTATTTATCTGGCCTGCCAAGGTGGCGTGAGGAAGATTTAATAGGTATTCTCTTATTGAGGTTGTGGGCAACATGGGATAATGGGAGAGCTCCCCATTTTTGGCCCTCCTACCAGGTTTACGAGATTGGGTGCATCGTTGCGGATAATAGTTGTGTATCATTCTGCAATTTAGTTCAAATGTCTACCGGCCCTTTACCTGGTGAGTAAATATACATTTGTTTTCTTCAAAATTCAATATGTTTTATTTAAAATCCCTATATATAACACTAAATAAATATATTTATAAATGTCAATAAAACACACAATTTTTATTATGTGAATTTCATGTTAGAAACAAAACAAAAAATTTAACCCGATATCCACTTATTTTGAGATTACTTTTATTGCACCAAATACTCAAATTATTGCTCACTAAACAGTGGAATGCAGAGGATTAACCCCTTAAGGACACATTACGTGTGACATGTCAAGATTCCCTTTTATTCCAGAAGTTTGGTCCTTAAGGGGTTAAAAGGTTGCTGCAAGTATGCCCGTTTTCGGCTGTTTTTGCTGTTAACGCTCTGCAGATTCTAGTTTAGTAAATAAGCATTAAACCATTTGTGTCAGAGTTAACCTTTGTTGCCCCCAAATGCCCTTATTTTGAGATAATTGTTGCACCAAATAAACAAACTATTGCCCTTTGTACAGTTGCAAAAAAATAAATTTTCTTAATTTTCTTTTGCTGCTAAAGTTACTTATAATTTTATGGTAAGCACCTTAGTGCTTTCAATATGAGAAAGGAATGGTCATAAACTATTGTGTATTTAGTAAATTAAAGCTCAGAAAGTACTGCCTGCTAAGTAATTCAGTGAATGCTGGCCTAGAATAGTGATGTCGCGAACCGTTCGCGAACTTCCCGCGAACGGCTCGCCACGAACCGTTCGCGGCGAGCTCCGCTCAGCTGACACATCCCGGCCAATCTCCAGCAGACCCTCCCTCCCAGACCCTCCCACCTCCTGGACAGCATCCATGTTGAAGGCAGCATGGATGATGTCCAGGAGGTGGGAGGGTCTGGGAGGGAGGGTCTGCTGGAGATGTGCCGGGATGTGTCAGCTGACCGGAGCTCGCCGCGAACGGTACGTGGCGAACCATGGTTCGCGACATCACTAGTCTAGAATTGCTGTTCTGAAATAACATGCCTATAATTCTGATAAATATGTTATTTATTTACTAGGCACGTAACATAGCCATAAATACGTGGATCATTTGGGATATTTCACTATTACTTTATTAAAAAAGATAAAAGAAACTGACTCTGAGCTAAACTAAATTGAATCAAATTATTGGGTCCAAATAAGTAAAATATGTTCAGAAATTCATTTGCAAATAAAGTCACTAAACGTGACTCTGTACTTGACTTGAAGCTGGTATGTTTGGTTTCCGATAGGCTGGTATCTCTGTCACCTTTTACATGGTTGGAGTAGCTTCCAAGTGGCCCAGATCTGGTGGGTAAGTCCTGGTTGGCGATTCTTGACTTGCTTCATTCCAGATTATTTCTATGTTTTCTGCTAAAAGCACAATGTGAGCACAGCATTGGAAAGCGTCTGCAGTGCGTGATACATTCACGGGCACCTAGCGAATTGTTTTGGTAAACGGACAACTTATATGTGCATGCGTCTACACATGTGAATTGTTCCTGTGCTGTGAGATAGGTAAATCATATAGATTATAAGATTGCTCAAGCAGGGCGTGTTCTTTAACTTATTGTTCCTGTCAACAATTGTAATATTTTGTCTCATTTGATGTAAAATCTAATTTTTTTTTAATTGTAAAGCTCTGCTGAATAAGTTGGCACTATATAAATGCCTATAATAATAAAAACAGTAGTGCTACGGGCATGGATCTGTTGAAGGTTATATCACCATGCCCCCCCATCTTACCAAATGCCTCCCCAACATTAGGAATGAAAGCACTGCATACCACACCGCTCCTGTCTCATCCCTTGGCTGCAATATGGGTCATAGCTGCTTTAAAATTTAAATGCCCCATGCCACATTCAGGGCATGGGGCAGGAGTAAGAAGGCATACAAAATTCACGTTCCTAATTTTGGAAATAAAACTGGTTTAGTAGCATGTTTCAGTTTAGAAATTTCAATTTTATTTAAGTCTAATACGTATTTGTATACATTTCCACATTTACATATACATTTTAAAAAGCGTCACACAAAATTATTTTATTGTTTAATTTTTTTATTTCATTCAGTAACATGAATTAATTTTTAGGGATGTACCTTTTTTACCAGTTTTAGTACTATCCGTTGAGGCGCCTGTTTGTATCTGTATTTACATAGATATATATATATATATTTATATATATGCACTTTGCCATCACTATGAGATTTAATGACACATGGCGAACAATCAATCTTGTTACACGGTGTCAGGACTTTAAGACGGAGCTGTTTCTGATTAATGTTTTCATGTTCAAAATCCAAACGCAGTGACAGATTTGACTCCATATAAAATCTAACTTAGTCCCAACCCAAAAACTGATCATGTGAATGTATTTCATGTGAAAGTCAAGGTACTGACTTTAACATGTCCTCCTCTTGAGAAGGTTTTTTGGAATTAATGATTGTGGGTTTATTCTCTGACTGGGGAAATGTGGAAATCTGAAAATGGAAATGTAAATGTGACTATATTTATTTAAAATTTCCAATTTGTCAATTTTCAACAATTTAAAATTTAGATAAACCCCTAGGCATTGGCATGAAAATGCCAGCCTCGGAAACTCACAATCTTTAATTTAGTTATTTGTTGTATGTTTTAGATATGTGTGTTTTAGGTCTGAAAAATAAAATTAAGTGTAGAAATCCACACAACTGTATTTAATTTGTTATCTTGGAACTGAGCGACTCCATCTTTGCTCCTTGTCAATCATCGTTTTAAACTCTGTCCTTTTCAAAGTAAGAAGAGGAGAAACATAGAAACACAGAATATGACGGCAGATAAGAACCATTCGGCCCATCTAGTCTGCCCAATTTTCTAAATACTTTCATTAGGCCCTAGCCTTATCTCATAGTTAGGATAGCCTTATGCCTATCCCACGCATGCTTAAACTCCCTCACTGTGTTAACCTCTACCACTTCAGCTGGAAGGCTATTCCATGCCTCCACTACCCTCTCAGTAAAGTAATACTTCCTGATATTATTTTTAAACATTTGCCCCTCTAATTTAAGACTATGTCCTCTTGTAGTAATTTTTCTTCAAGAGTAATGCAATGTGTGCCTTGACTGTGCCAGGACTGAACTAGATTGTGACACCAATTAAAAGAAAACAAAACATCACATGAAAAAAAGGTTAACATAAGTTATGGATGAGTTTCAATGTTTCAGTTAGCGTTGTAATTTCCAAAGAATGGAGGATTCGCCTTTAAAGGGACACTATAGTCACTAAAACGACTTTAAAAGTTTTCATCCCCTGCTCTGTAAATTGAACTTTAAGCACACACGGGAGGGTCCTGCAGGCTCTAGCAAGCTATTAACAGAGCAGGAGATGAGAAATTCTAAACACATAAAGGATAATAATAAAGGAAGTGTAAACATTTGAGGACTGTTTACAGGAAGTGTTTAGGAAGGCTGTGTAAGTCACATGTATGGAGGTGTGTCTAGGGCTGTATAAGCAAAGTGCTTTAACTCCTAAATGGCAGAGAATTGAGCAATGAGACTGCAGGAGCAGGATCTATACACCAAAACTATATTTATTATAAAGTTGTTTTGGTGACTATCCCTTTAAAGGTAATGTTGGACCTGAAGACAGGAGTAAAAGGTAGAATCTGGACTATAAATGGGTTACAGACAAAACTGGATACAGTAACTTAAAAATGGATCAAAGCTGAATGATGGAGGATGGATACAGGTCTAAGCAGGATACTGCAGAGATGGATGTTCTGAACCTTTGCCAGATTAAACAGGTTATAGTACTGAGCATTCCAATGTAATACTCGGATACCTAGTTGCACTTGGCAAGACGGGTCAAGGACAGAAATGGAAAGTTCCAGATCTACAACAGTGGTGCTGAGGATCAGAAAATCCGCTACACTTTCAGAGGTCTCTTCATAATAAGCAAGACACCAATGAAAAAAGCCAGGATACTAAATCCAGGTGATCCAGCTTCATCTGATTTTGTTCTAGAGAAAAAAATAAAAAGGATAGCAATCAGAGAATCAGCAGTCCGAGAACATGTAAAAAATAGGTGGTCTGCAACAATCTCTAGGTAGGTGGTGCGGGTCACAGTAACATCCACATGAATGCCAGGATCTAAGGCTTCCCAGCAGAACATTCCCCAGAGCATAACACTGCCTCTGCCGGCCTGCCTTCTTCTCATAGTGCATCCTGCTGTAATTTCTTCCCCGGCCATCCACCTAAATGGAAGAAAACATGATTCATCAGACCAGGCATCCTCCTTCCATTGCTCCATTGTCCAGTTCTGACACTCATGCTCGTTCGGTGCTGGACAGGAGTCGTTATGGGCACTCTGACTGGTCTGTGGTTACACAGCCCCAGCTAACTGCAATGCACTATGTGTTCTAAATCCTTTCCACCATGGCTTTCTTGCACCAGTATTTGGTAGTTACTAACCACTGCATATCTGGAACACCACACACGACTTGATGTTTTGGAGATGTTCTGAACCAGTTGTCTAGCCATCACTATTTGGCCCTTGTCAAAGTCACTCAGATCTCATCGCTTGCCTATTTTTCTGACTTTCAAAAAGAAATTCAGTTAGTAACTGTTCATTTGTTGCCAAATATAGCAAACTCCTTGACAGGTGTTATTTTAATGATATAATCAATGTTATTCACTTCACCTGGCAGTGGTTTTAATATTGTGGCTAATCAGTGTACCTACTAAGGATTTTCTAAAAATATTTCTGAGCAAGACAAGAGTTCAGTGCCTCCAACAGAAACACTATTATCCTTGTTATTTATATAGCATTAAATATATTCCACAGCACTCTACAATTGTAGAAAGTGGATATGAAGAAGGCCCTGCTCAAACAAGCTTACAATCTAAGGTAGGAATATGTATATAAAATAATATTAGGTTTCTTGTTACCACTGCTCTTGGCAGCCATTCTATAAAATGACAAATGTTATAGAAAGGAAGAGAATGCGCTATATTATTACTGTGAAGTTATGTGTGTGTTACAGTTGCAGTATGTACCAGTGTTAGCGCAGCTCACAGTGTGATGTAAAGAATTAGCGGTAACAAGGTGATACCAATGTTCCGATTAATCTAGAAGGGTCTTTTAACATATTTAACAAGCAGCGAGTATTTCCCTGTATAATTTACGCAGCCTAGTGTGGGCATTGAGGACGAGAGCTTTGCTTGGCGTGTTGAGAATAGTCACTGATGTATATGACTTGTGAGTCACTGCTGCAGTTTTTTTTTTTTTTTCTTAAACATTTTTTCCCAAATCCCTGCATGCCCACTTGGTCCCAGCGAGAGACCATTAATTTACGTAGGGGAGAATGAAAAGAAAACCCCATCTGGGGCTTAGAAATTGCAAATCTGCCGGAGTCTGTCAACAGGCAGGAGTCACAGCTGTGCCAGAGTCTGCCACCTCTATTCTTATTAACTCCTGCATTGCCACCTCTTTTCTCATTAACTCCTGCATTGCCACTTCTATTCTCATTGAAACCTGCATTGCCAATTGTATTCTCGTTAACTCCTGCACTGCCACCTCCATTTTCATTTGCTCCTGCAATGCCACCTCTCTTCTCATTAACTCCTGCATTGCCACTTCTATTCTCATTGAAACCTGCATTGCCAATTGTATTCTCATCAACTCCTGCATTGCCACTTCTATTCTCATTAACTCCTGCATTGCCACCTCAATTCTCAATAACTCCTGCATTGCCACTTCTATTCTTATTAAATGCTGCATTGCCACTTCTATTCTCATTAACTCCTGCATTGCCACTTCTATTCGTATTAACTCCTGCATTGCCACTTCTATTCTCATTAACTCCTGCATTGCCACCTCTCTTCTCAATAACTCCTGCATTGCCACCTCTCTTCTCATTAACTCCTGCATTGCCACCTCTATTTTCAATAACTCCTGCATTGCCACATCTCTTCTCATTAACTCCTGCATTGCCACCTCTATTTTCAATAACTCCTGCATTGCCACCTCTATTCTCATTAACTCCTGCATTGCCACCCCTCTTCTTATTAACTCCTACATTGCCAGTTGGAAAGTAATAGAGGAGCTTGGTCACCTAGTATAAAAAAAAAAAAACTTTAAATAAATCAAAATTGCATGAACACAGCCCTGTTAACATTTTCAGAATTTTTATATTTTTAGAGTATTTGAATAGCCCATTTGCACCATCACAAGAGGTTTAATAACTAAATTGTGAATGTAGTGAATTTTAGATTTTATTAGGAATAAAATCCTCAAATCAGCTTGTTTTTCATTTAAACTATGTTTGATCTAAAATGTGAAATGTATTTTTATTAATTTTAAACTCCTGACAATTTACACCTGTAATTAACCCTGTGAGAGTTTCCTGACAGAGCCAACTATTTATCTGGATAGACCAGGCCCTCTCTTCTCTGTAGAAGGCTATTAAATTGCGTGCACAACCCCGAACATGTACATCTTCATTTTAGTTTGAGCGGTATTGTAACTGTGGCCTAATCCACATGTGATTAACAGGATTATTCACTGAAACGAGAAATCAAAGTGAATTTAAAGTGAATTTCAAATTTAAGATCTGAGTAGCTGATTACAGTTTGGTTATTTTCATCTTAAGTTTTAAGTTGCAAGTGTTGGAAGAGCTGGAATCAAGAAAGGTGTAGCAAGCAGACAGGGGTCCTGCCAATAAAACAGTTTGCATCACTGGTGACAACTAAAAGAGAGATCCCACCTTAACAGGGGGACAGACCCGTCTGTAAAGGACCATGACAGCCTAGTATGAAAACGTTTTGCCCATTGCCCACTACTGAGGGCTGTATATATGCGCAGGGCAATGTATAACCAATGATGTGCGCGTGGTTTATGTGGTTTATGGAGACTTGACCTAGACTGTCACCGGAAGCAGGACACCAGAAAGCAAACCCAAATGGCAGGTCAGGATCTGGTGTAATAAATAAACCCAAAACAAGTTTTATTAATATTGTCTGTGAACAAAAATATATGAAATTGTGGAAAATTCAAAAACGCATCCTCTGAATGCTCTGCAGGACAGAGATATTTACCGTTTTAACTTGTGTTTCTTAGATACAATGTTGCTGTTTGAGTGACGTAGAAGAAGAACGATACACACCGTGAATACCTAGATTCCTACACAGACTCCTTGTCATGTGCTCTCTACTAACAGCACTCACTTCATCCATATGGTTTGGTCACAGCTTATCTCCACTCTGCCAACTGCTTTTATTGGCTGCTCCCCCAAATATCCAGTTATAGTCGAGGCAGATTGGCAGATTTTAGGGACCAACTCAGAATTCCCCTCTACAGATAAAAAAAAAAATTCAAAGTGAATTTTACATTTTAGACCTAAATAGACGAACTAAAAGCATAGCTGACTTGGAGAAGTTTTCCAACTAAGTTATATTTGGCCTCAATTTGAAATTTACATTGAATTTACTTTTAGACAATTCTCACGTTAGTAAATAACTCTGAGTAAGTATCCACTCACAGTGTGTCCATTCCTTTAACTCATGGGCAACCTCCCTCTCTCTCAAATGTGTTTCCTTCAGTCTTGTCTTTGGATACAGAAACCCTGGATGCCTGTTTAAAAAATGTCTGCACCCAGTAGTGAGAATGTGTGATTGGCTGAAAGGTTTTTGATTGATTATAATGCACTTAGATTAATTATTATTATTGTTCTAGGGTAAAGCTTTGAACATCACAGAACAATTACAGAGCGAATCAGAAAACATGAATATTCTTCAATTAGATTGTATTTTATTTTTTATTTTTTTTGCATTTTTTTCAAGAATGTCAAAACAAGACAGCAGAGAATTGGAATTCAATAAATTGAAATGAAACATTTTAACCTTTTAAAAATGTTTTTATATTTTTTTTGTATTAAGGGTCAGATGAATTCCATATTGAGATGTAACATTGGCATGAGCAAAAGTAAAAAGAATATTAGATTATTTACTTACAGATGATAAGTAAACAAAATCAAAGTAATAATTAAATCATTTATCTATTTGGTGAAGTAGTTATTTTATATGAGGTTTATAGTTTTCACACTGACTTGTACTGAACTGAGAAATCAGATTACAAAATGTAGTCTAAATTAGCCTGGCTGTGACTCGAGGTAAGGTGGAGAATTTTTCAAAACTATTTTAACCTAAATTCTGTAATTTTAGTTTACTACAAGTCAGTATTTGTTCAATAAACCCAATTGATTGCGTCAGAATTGCATTATGTTTATCGTTATGTTATAAATGCCTGCCATCGAATAAATTGTACTTTATTATTTGTATGTTTTATCACCCAATTACATTATATCCTCAACTTCATGTTACAAAAATTAAATAGCGATAATGCGTTATATTTAAAGTCACAATAGATCCCCTCCACTTAGTCTAGAAAACCTTGTCACTGGTGTGATGCCAATTCTCAGAGGAATACAATGTTTATTTGTATAAAAGAGACCTAATGAATAGTTCATTGAGTCTTTAGCAAAAATGAAGTCTTGTTAACCCATTATGTCTCTAATTAACCCATTCTCAGCCTGCTCAGGGATTACCGGGGGGCAGGCAGACATCATGTTTAGATTTCACACTGAGATTTAGCAATGGTCCCTTTGAGATCCTTTTGTATCAGTAACTGAGATTGATTTGAGGGGATGAGTGACAGTCCCCACGGACAATTCCTTGCCAGATGAACTCTTTAACAGTTTGCCTTTCCGCTGGCTACAATTTACCAAGGACAGAGCATCGGATATAAATATTCATACCTTCGTTTTCCTTCCAAAAAGATCATTGGACTAATTACGCTAATGAAGGGAGCAAGGAAAAATACAATTATTGACCTGCAGACCCTGTATTGTGCAAAACCAGTTGCAGTTATTCACTGCTCACTACAGATCCCCCTCCAGTCTAAGACAACATTAATGTAGGAACGAGGAAGCTCTTAGAGTAATAGGTGTTTAATCATTGTCTTACCGCGTGAGACTTATTGATAGGATGTACAGTTGTACTGAGCTGAAAGAGTGCAAGATTTTTAACACAGAACATAGAATTTAACAATGCTACATTATGATATTATATATCGAACGAATCAAAAGACTGGACACAAATATAACTTTAGGACACTGAAAAATACTTGGGATTTTATTCAATTTATCACAATCCTAAAATTCAGATGGTTTTCAAAAACAATTTTGCTGTTATTGGGTTGGTGAAAATGGTCCTGTACTTTAAGCTGACAATTCAGTGTTCACAATCATTCTAAAGAGAACTTTGCAAGTTTAACATCTTAATGAACTTGACAAGTCTGTGAAACCAATTTTCTAGCAATTATTTAATAACCCCAAAATATTTAGTGTTTCTGCATAAGCAGAATGAACACCACAAAGACCCTGACTTGATGACATGTACAGACGTTGTTAACTTACCATTCCTTGTTAATTACACCAACTAAAGGACAAATAAGCATTGTAACTACAACATAACAAAGAAAAAATGATAACATAACAATTATACATGTGTACAATACCTGGAATGTCTGTTTTGAATTACTTTATAGAAATACTCACCCACGGCAATGTACATATGGAAAATATTTAAATTGGCCAGCTGTCACCTATTAGCAATATCCATAAACTCGGCTATCTGTAACCTTCGCCCTGTAATGTAATGGAAGAGCAAGTATTAGCTCCAAGTGTTTTGTCAATAATCTTGTGATTTTGAATTCCATTTGGGTAAATCTAGCCTGTTTCTTTTTAATTCGATAAGATTAATGGGTAAATCTAGCCTGTTTTTTTTTTTTTTGTCAGTTACATTTTCTGTCTTTGGTAGCATTATGGGAAGTAAAATGTTTAGGTTATGGTGCCAGGAGTATCTTGGCCCCATTTCCTGGTAATGGGGCAAACAGTTTTACCTGATCTACAGTCCCCAGAATATGATCCTGCCTTCATTCGTTAGCTGATAGTGTCAGCTGATCGCTCTCCACCAACAAATGTAATACTCTACATAGGAATATGCACAGAATCGACATTAGCCACCCAGGATTCTTGTTCCAAACTGGCTAATGATGCCCTATTGACACGCCTGGAGGAGGATTTACATCTTCAACAGCGGAGGGGTTAAACTCTGTACGTACAGCATTTCATGACCACCTCAAATCACTGAAATGGTCATGGTGCTTGGAGGACCCTATAAAGTTAGTTCAAAATGGTGGCTTAGGGGTACATTATAGGTATTTTCGATAGTCTATCACAGGGATGTGCAACCTCTGACACTGCAGATATTGGGGACTATGTCTTCCCTGATGCCTTGCCAGTATTATGGCGGTAAGAGCACTATGGGAGACGTAGTCCACAACATCTGGAGTGCTGAAGCTTGCCTAGCTCTGGTCTATTATATGAAAGTGATAATGGGATTAATCTAGGTCTTGACTTTCGACTCAATATGTAAATCAAAGAAAGGGTTAGAGAGGGAGAGCCTTATCAGAAGAATAAATAAAAGTACCTGTAGATATTTTAAAGTTAAAGGCCAAGAGAGGTCTTCATACTATACTACGGGAGTAATTTGAAGAGGTCATGCTTTGCATTTTATTTAAACCAGCAGCAAAAGGCATTTGTTTATTAAGAAGTCAAGTAAACAATTTGAAAACAAAGAAGTTTAAAGTCAAGCACAAACTCCTGACATTACAGGTTCAGAGCATGAGCTCTGTCAGTGATGGAGACCTGGCCTGTTCACAATCAGTGCAGGTTTGTCCATGGTGGAAAGTCATGACCAATCATGTCTGCACATTGGGCTTTGCCTGTCTGTCCTTTTTTTCCTTCGTCTTGCAGCTCCTTGGTACATTTCGGACTGGATAAGGCTCTGCAAACCTTGTGACCAAATTACAAACCTCGGAAAATTCCATTCTTGCTGAGCATTTACACTGCCCTGATTTTACCCTTAGTCAAACTTTAACAGATAAAGACATTAGGATTCCAAATCAATATTGATTTACACAAAAAGTTG